AAACAGACCTAGTGCAAAAAGAAGCCCATAGACTGAAAGTGAAAGGGTGGAAAACAATTCAGCATGTGACAGTAGCCGAGAAAAAAGCAGGGGTAGCAATCTTATTTGCAGACAAAGTAAATTTCAAATCAAAACTGATTAAGAGAAACAAGAAGGCCACTATATCCTTGTAAAGGGAACAATCAAGAGGAAGAGATGATAATCATAAAGATATATGCACCAAATATGAATGTCCCCAACTATATTAAACAAATTTTAAGTAACATGAGAAACCAAATAAGCACTCATACAATTGTAGTGTCTATTTGTATCACAAATAGACAGATCATCTAGGCAGAAAATCGACAATGAAATAGTGGAACTCAATCAAGCTTTTGAACTCATGGACTTAATAGACGTCTATAGAGTGTTCCACCTCACAAAATCAGAATATACATTCTTTTCAGCTGCACATGGCTCATTCTCCAAGATAGACCACACACAAGCTCACAGAACAGGTCTGAATAAATGCAAAAGAATCACAGTTATCCCCTGTATATTATCAGATCACAGTGCAATCAAGCTGGGGATCAATAGCATAAGAAACCATAGGAACTTCACAAACATATGGAAACTGAACAACACTCTCCTGAATAATCAATGGATCACAGAGGAAATTAAAGAAGAAATTAGACAGTTTTTACAAATAAATGAAAATGCCAATACAACATACAGGAATGTATGGGACACAATGAAAGCAGTTCTACGTGGGAAATTCATAGCACTGAATGTCCACACTAGGTAAACGGAGTGAGCTCAAATAAAAAAAACCTAATGATGAATCTCAGACTACTAGAAAAACAAGAGCAAGAAAAACCCAGAGCTTGAACAAGAGAGGAAATTATAAAGATTAGAGCAGAAATCAATGCAATGGAAACTAAAAAAATGATACAAAAAATAAATGAATCAAAGAGTTGGTTTTTTGGAAGAATAAATAAAATCAATAAACCCTTAGCTAACCTTATCAAAAAAAGGAAAGAAAAGGCTCAGATCTCTGCAATCAGGAATGAAAAAGGCGAATCACAACAGATCCAACAGAAATCCAGAGGATCATTAATACCTACTTTGAGAACCTGTACTCTAACAAAATGGAAAACACAGAAGAAATGGACAGATTTTTAGATACTTATGAATCACCAAAGTTGAACAAAGAAGATACAAACATTTTAAACAACCCAATTATAATCAGTGAAATTGAAAATGTAATTAAAAATTTACCAAAAAGAAAAGCCCAGGTCCTGATGGATTCAATGCTGAATTTTACAAGACTTTTAGAGAAGAACTACTGCCTTTACTCTTCAAACTTTTCAATGAAATTGAAAGGGAAGCTACACTTCCAAATTCATTCCTGGAAGCAAGTACCACTTTGATTTCCAAACCAGGGAAAGATGCAACTAAAAAAGAGAACCACAGGCCAATCTCCTTAATGAATATAGATGCAAAAATCCTTAATAAGATACTAGCAAACAGAATACAGAGGATTATCAAGAAGATCATCCATCCTGACCAAGTCGGATTTATTCCAGGGATGCAACAATGGTTCAAAACATGTGAGTCAATGTAATACACTATATTAACAAAGTCAAGGAGAAAAACCATATGATCCTCTTGCTAGGTGCAGAAAAAGCATTTGACAAAATTCAACACCCATTCATGATAAAAACCCTTCAAAAATTTGGAATAGATGATCTATAATATCTCAACTTAATAAAGGCTATCTATGAAAAACCAACAGCCAACATCATATTAAATGGCAAAAAACTGAAAATCTTCAGGTTAAAATCAGGAACAATACAAGGATGCCCACTATCACCACTCCTCTTTGATATAGTTCTGGAAACATTAGCCATAGCAATTAAACAAGAGAAAGAAATTAAAGCAATAAAGATAGGAAAGGAAGAAGTTAAACTGTCATTATTTGCTGACGATATGATACTCTACATCAAAGACACAAAAAACTCAACCAAAAGACTTCTAGACTTAATTGACACTTTTAGCAGAGTAGCTGGATACAAGGTCAACACTCAAAAATCAACAGCCTTCTTATACACAAATAACAGACTCAATAAGAGAGAAATTAGGGAAACATTTCCTTTCACAATAGCATCCAAAAAAAATGAAGTATCTAGGAATCAATCTAACAAAAGAAGCAAAAGACCTCTACACTGAAAACTACAGCACTCTGAAAAAAGAGATCGAAGAGAACATAAGAAAATGGAAAGATATCCCCTGCTCCTGGGTATGAACAATCAACATAGTGAAAATGGCCATACTACCAAAACTGCTATACAGACTCAATGCAATGCCAATTGAAATTGCAACAGTATATTTCACAAATCTAGAAAAAAGAATCCAAAAATTCATTTGGAACCGGAAGAGACCTAGAATAGCAAAAGCCATCCTATGCAACAGAGACATGGTAGCACATATAACAATTCCCAATTTGAAACTTTACTACAAAACCACTGTGATAAAAACAGCATGGTACTGGCAAAGAAATAGACCTGAGGATAAGTGGAAGAGGAGGATTGGAAGACACAAACACAAATCCAGATGTACTCAGCTACCTAATCTTTGACAAAAGAGCTGACCATCCCCACTGGAGGAAAGATAGCCTCTTTAATAAATGGTGTTGGAAAAACTGGATCTCAACTTCCCAAAGATTAAAACTGGACCCTTGTCTTTCACCATGCACTAAATTAAAATCCAAATGGATTAAAGATCTAAATATTAAAACAGAAACATTAAACTTGCTGGAAGGTAAGTTAGGCAGAACTCTAGAAGACATTAGCATAGGAAAAGACTTTATGAACAAATCCTTAGTAGCACCGGAACTAGCAGATACAATCAACAACTGGGATCTCATCTTATTAAAAAGCTTGTGTACTGCCAAAGAAACCATCAACAGAACTAAGAGACAACCTACAATGTGGGAAAAAAATTTTTACCAGCTGCTCCTCAGACAAAGGACTATTATATCAAGAATATATAAAGAACTCAAAACAATCAGCCCCCCCAAAATATAAAGACTCAATTCAAAAATGGGCATCCGAAATGAACAGACATTTCTCAGACAATGAAGTAAAAGCAGCAAGTAAATATATGAAAAAATGTTCCACATCACTGGTCATTCGAGAGATGCAGATGAAAACAACACTGAGATTCCACCTCACCCCACAAAGAATGGCTGCTATCAAGAAATCACATAATAACAAATGTTTTTTTTTTTTAAGAGCTGAAGTGACTTTAAAGTGACTGGCTCCAGATAATACAAACATAAATTCTGAACTACACTGAAAAACAGGTTACATTAAATTAACAAAGTTTAATAGCTACAGTATTCATATGCACTTTTTTGTCCTATAGGCAGGGATATAAAGAAGTCAATCTCTACATAAGCAGTTCTTCAAAGTACATTAAAATAACATAATGGCAATACACTAATTCAGGCTGAGGGACAAATTGATGGAAGAGGCAATGAGCCTGGGAATCATGGCCCCATGTATACAGGCTAAGATGTTACAGGAGCTGGAGATGGCCAGGAACAAATGTGCAGGGTTTGGAGCCCCCCTTTTTAATCTAGTCCCCCCATCTCTCTATTACTATGAATTAGTCAAGTTTTTGGTTATACTTTCCTAGAAGGTGTTTAAGACCCACTAAAAGTAAGAATTGTGTTAATAAAATTAACGTAGGGCCAGGGATTTAGCTCAGCGGTTCGGTAGCCTGCCTTGCAAGTGCAAGGACCCAAGTTCAATGCCCGGTACCAAAATAAGTAAATAAATAAAATTAATGTATATTTCTTTACATCAGTTAGGGCTCTCAGGTATTACTTTTATGGC